AAGACAATCGGGTGCAAATGGATCTTCAAAAATAAGACTAACATGGATGGGAAAGTACATACATATAAGGAGCGATTGGTTGCGAAGGGCTTTACTCAAACTCCTGGAGTTGACTATGATGAGACCTTCTCACCAGTGGCTAAGATTAAATCTATAAGGGTTATGCTAGCCATAGTTGCATTTCATGATTATGAGATATGGCAAATAGACGTCAAAACCGATTTCCTTAATGGGAAGTTGGCTGAAGATGTTTACATGAATCAGCCAGAGGGTTTTGTCAATGCTAAGTACCTTAATAGAGTGTGTAAGCTTGAGAAATCCATTGATGGATTGAAACAAGCATCACGCAGATGGAATATTTGTTTCGATGAGAAAGTCAAAGAGTTTGGTTTTTCGAGAAGCGAGGATGAGTCCTGTGTATATGTCAAAGCTAGTGGGAGTATAGTTAGCTTTCTTGTATTGTATGTAGATGACATACTGCTAATGGGAAACGACATCCCAACCTTGCAGGAGGTTAAATCCTGGCTTGGGAAGTGTTTTTCTATGAATGACCTTGGGGAAGCTGCTTACATTCTAGGGATAAGGATATTGAGAAACGGGAGTAAAAGACTAATATGACTTAGTCAAAGTACCTACTTGGACAAAGTGTTGAAGCGTTTCAGCATGGAGGAATCCAAGAAAGGCGAATTACCTATCCAGAGCAATACCAAAATGAGTAAGACTTAGACTCCGAGTACAGAGGCTGAGATAGCAGAAATGAGTCGAATACCATATGCTTCTGCTGTTGGTTCGATCATGTATGTTATGACATGTACTCGCCCTGATGTGGCCTTTGCATGGTGTAATGAAGCTAAAACACTCAATCCAAGCCAAAATGAAGGTCTAAGTCATAGAATGGAGCCATTGCTGAATAAAGGTGGCAACTTTGAGCTTCTAAAGCTCAAGAGTGCCCAGATCTGAAGTACTTACATCCCCAAAGGTCCAAAACTTGGAATGACCTTGGAAATGACCCAAAAATGACAACATACAAGCTAGGAAGGAGATCTAAATGAATAACAGCCAAGGTATAAGCTTTATACCTCTATGAAGAAAGAAATGAGTCCTTAGCTCTGGATCTTTGACCTTCCTTCTACAACTCCAAGCCTTTTGCTTCCTTCTTCTAGCTTTAATCACAAAAATGGAAAGAAATAGCTCAGGATCACTCAAGGTTGATTAGGGTTTCGAGATTAGGGTTTGGAGGTGATGGAGGTTGGAATGGAGGCCAGGTATGATGCTTAAATAGGGTGCAAACCCCAAAGATTATGGTTTCATCCATCCTGGCCTACTCGTCGAGTCAGGACTTCGACTCGTCGAGTAGCTCACTAAAAACTCGCGTCTAATCTTTCTTCTACTCGATGAGTTAGGGCTACCAACTCGTCGAGTAGCCCTTCCAAAATAAATAAATAAAAAGGTTAATTGCGTACCAGGAACCAGGCGTTACAAGATGACCCACCCAAGAGCGAACAATCAGACAAGAACATCACAATCAAGCATTAGACCAAGAGTTTTCAGGCTATCCAACTTAAACTACATAGAACCTAAGATATCATTATCACATAACCACGTAACATAAACACATAATATATACTAACATTTTATATATCCTTGGCAACTAGCCTTCCCTAGTTACCCTGCCGTTGACCACTTCTCCATTAAGTCCTTCGCTGGTCACTCATACATAATCTTGATAACTAGCTGTCCCCAGTTACCTTAACCAACATAACCCCTAACAATATCATACAATCAACAATCAAGACCTTACCAGTCTAGCATACCAAGACACCAAGCGTTCTAACTGCACATACATAACAAGGAGTTATCCTAGTCAACTAGCATACTTGTACTCTAACAGTACCTTTATCCTACCATGCCAAGGATATATAATGGGATACGTGGCATATTGAGAAACTCACCTGAACTGAAGAATCGGAGAAGCACAACAACACTCTCATCCCTTGCACTGATCAATCCCACGAACCGAATAACACCAAAAGAGATAAATCTTCAATAAAAAAACCAAATCCTCCAAGTTTGACCCCAAGTCAAATTGGTTAAAAGTCAACGATCAACAAAAATCAACGGTCAACCAAGTCAACAGCCACCATGATGTACATACTTCTTGGCCACGTCATGGGCATGTCGGGACAAAATAGACGATATGCAGGACTTCGCAACGTCGTGGACCCTCCTTGGCCACGTCGTGGGAATGTCATGACAACTCAAATGTGAATTAGCATTTCACCACATCGTGGGCCCTTTTTGGTAACGTTGTGGTTGCTGGAAAAACTTTCATTTGTTCATTAAAAGCTTAATACTTATAGATCTAAACCCAAAACTTCTGATATGGTCCTTTTCAAAGACTTAATGGATAAAGTTTCTAACTTTATCCATTATGGCCTCACTACAAGACAAAATCTCAACCCCTAAGTCCATAACATCCTTAATATGACCTCAACTTGTGCATGGAGCAAAGAGGACAAAGACTTAACACTTTTTCCAATACCTAGGGCCAAAAGATGGTCACCAAACAAGCCTAAGGTTCTGGAGTTATCCAAAACTCCAAGATCACTTCTTCAAGGGACTTCATGGCATGAAAGAAAAGAAGAGGATGATAAAGGTGGAAGCTTTATACTTTCCTAAGCTTCACAAGATGTAGGAGATGCAAGATCTGAAGTATATACACTCTTCTAACTAGCAAACACACCTTCTTCTTCTTCCCAAAGTGCAAACCAAGGCTTCAAACCTCACGAACACCAAGAATACAACAAGAATCATCAAAGGGGGCTAGGGTTTCGTTTAGGAAGGTTGGAGACTGAAAAGGATGCCCTAATCTTGAAGTTAGAGGTTTTAAATACGGGAGAACCCCTAAAATATCATGGGTTTGAGCTGTCACAGCCACCGCGTGGTGGTGCTCACCGGAAAAAGTGCGATCATAAAAACCATGCCACGGGCATCCATGCACCACGTCGTGACAAATGTTTTTCTTCAAAAACCATACATTTGACTCTTTCAGGTCACCAACTAATCCATTCTCTAAAACGGGTGTTACACACAAACAAAAAGGAAATCAATGACCTTTTAAAACAAATGGAAAAATTTTGTAGGGCTAGATTGATATTTTCTCTCTATTTTAACAAGAAGACTCGTGTCTCATTTCACAAATGAACTAGGTACGAATCATGTCTTATTAAAAAAAATTATAGTCTCTATCGAATCTTAGAATCTTATAACCGCCTACAAATCAAAGTCTCTAAATTATTTTAATATGATTTTCTTATTTTAAGTATGTGATTTTGTAATATGTACCTTAATGGCACATATAAAAAATATTAATTATCTGGAATATTACTATAATTAAATGTGAAATGTATTAATTATAAAGAATGTTTTTTATTAAAAAATATAAAATATATTAATTATGGATAATATTTCTTATAATTAATACATTTCACGATTTACAATAATTAATATTTTTTATATATATTTAAGATACATGTTATAAAATCTATATAATTGACATTCACCTAGTTTTAGTACTAAAAATGACGTCTAAACAGTATCTCCGATCATGAAGCCTAATTAAATAACCTGTTTCAATTATTATTTTTTAGGGATAATGACTTGATAGGGTAATGAACTTTCGTCTTTGTTCACATTTAGTCACTAAACTTTTTTTCGTTATGTATTTGCCACTGAACTATTGAAATTGTTCACATTTTACCCTTATGACCGGTTGTTACCGGTCATAAGGGTAAAATGTGAACACTTTCAATAGTTCAGTGACAAATAGATAACGAAAAAAAGTTTAGTGACTAAATGTGAACAAAATCGAAAGTTCGTTTCCCTTTAAAAATGTTCAACGACTAAATGTGAACAAACTTCCTCTGGTATTATATTTTAGCAAATTATTTATTTTTGTTAAATTGTAGCAACACTTGTTGATGAAGAAATCTATGAAATAAGAAAAAACATAATCCCAAAAAATATATTAAAAAAACGAAAAACCGAAACCGAAATAAAAAACCAATGGTTTGGTATTTTCCAAAATAAAAAATCACAATTTTTCAATCTGATTTTGTTTTACAAAAATTCAACTTTCGGATTTCTATATCTAAATCTCTCCCCCTTTTTATAATCGAAAAATGATTATAAAACTAAAAAGGGAATGAGAAAGCGCTCAATTCGGAATTTTTCTATCCAAAACTCCCCCTTGTGACATGAGAGATAGAGAGAGACATGTAAACACCTCTATATAAGGTGGGTTCATACCACATGTAGATGTGTGCTTGAGAGATGTAACATTGAGAGTGTTAGTGTGTGTTAATTATGTAGATTTAGATTTAGATCTTTTTTTGTAAACACCTTTCATAATCGAATGCATCTCCAAACCAATGGTCATAATTCACATAAGTGAGAATGGTTCATTTTTTTTTGTAAAACCAAAATCAGATTGGAAATTTTGATTTATTATTTTGGAAAATGCCAAACCATTGGTTTTTTATTTCGGTTTCGATTTTTCGTTTTTTAATATATTTTCGGGGTTTTATTTTTTTTTATTTTATAGATTTCTTCATCAACAAATGTTGGTAGAATTTAACAAAAATAAATAATTTGCTAAAACATAATACAGTAGGAAGTTTGTTCATATTTAGTTATTGAACTTTTCTAAAGGGAAACGAACTTTTGATTTTGTTCACATTTAGTCACTAAATTTTTTTTTCATTATCTATTTGCCACTGAACTATTGAAACCCTTATGACCGGTAACAACCGGTCATAAGGGTAAATGTGAACAGTTTCAATAGTTCAGTGGCAAATAGATAACGAAAAAAAATTTAATGACTAAATGTAAATAAAATCGAAAATTTATTACCCTTTCAAGTCATACCCCTTTTTTTTATGCCGACAAACATATGAAAAAAAGTGCAAGAAGACGCCGTGATCATACGATCTTCATATATACCGATATATCCACGAATGAAGGGCCAAGACTCCTTCAATTAACACAAAATCTTTAATAAATGTTCATCTTTAGATCGCTCATGGGGATTTGATGAACCCATCTTCCACGTGTTCATCAACCCCTTAATATCTTCAACACCCTCCTTCCAAGCTTCACAATCAAAGAACTTCTCTACATTTTCAATATTTTCCAATGGATTCTCTGCGTGTGCTCAATTGTTACTCTGCCACCAAGAATCCATCTCCTTTAGAAACCCAGTCCGCAAGGGAATTCAGATTCCTCCGTCACCATAACCAGCAAAGAACTTTTCGGGTTGTGGGTTTCTTGAAGCCAAGAGTAACTCCTCATCGTAGCCATTATTTGGGATTTCAACATAAATCTTCTCCCATCGTTCGTGCCGTGTCGACCCAAACCAGGTTTCTTGTCGTTTCTTCACAATTTCGATATTTATTTTTGATAAATTTCCTTCATTTCTGTGTCTTACAACTATGAATGTATTGTTGGTATTGATTCGGGCCATGAATTCTACTATCTCATCTTCACTTCGGTATCATCATATGCTTACTTGATTATATCGATTCGTGTTTCTCTATAGCACATTAGATGTTCGACAAAATGTCTAAAAGAAACATTACAGAAGTAACTAACCTAACACCATGTGTTCTCCAGAGAAGAAGAAACCGGTGAAACAGGAATGAAGTCAAAGACATCTCATGGAAAGGTCAACCTGACTCTCCGGCTAGACCATCAAGTCAAATTTGGTGAACACGTTGGAGTCTTGGGGTCCACAAAAGAATTCGGATCATGGAAAAAGAAGAAGCAATTGAATTGGACAGAAACCGGTTGGATTTGTGACATGGAATGTAAAGGTGGAGAAACTTATGAATTCAAATTTGTAGTTGAACAAATGGACAAGAGTATGATTTGGGAAGGTGGTGAAAATCGTGTCTTGAAGTTGCCAAAATCTGGTAGTTTTGAGATGATTTGTCATTGGAATATGACCAATGAGCCCATAAATTTGTTGCCTATTGATGGAAAAGAATATGAGGTGGAAGTGGAAAGTATAAATGAAACTCAAGATAATAATGATTCTTCAAATATAGATCCTACAACAAGTCCTTTTGTGGAAAAATGGCAAGGGAATGAAGCATCATTCATGCAATCAAATGAACATGGGAATAGAGAAAGACAAAGACATTGGGATACTTCAGGGCTTCAAGGAGTGGCATTAAAGTTAGTTGAAGGTGACAAAAATGGAAGAAATTGGTGGAGAAAGGTAACTTTTTGTGTCCATTTTGGTAATTTTAGTGAATAGTGATTAACCCTTAATGTAATAATGTAATTTTTTTTTCTTTTTATGTCACAAAATTAAGCTTGAAGTTATTCGTGACCTTGTGGTTGAAAGTATGGATGGTGTGGATCGTTTGGATGCTCTCATATATTCAGCTATCTATCTCAAGGTTTTGTGCTTATTCTGTATCATTGACTTTATTTGACCAAATGCTTCTTTGATTTTCTTAGAGTTTTAAACTTTTTTTTTACAGTGGATTAATACTGGACAAATTCCTTGCTTTGAAGATGGAGGTCATCATAGGCCAAATAGACATGCTGAAATTTCAAGACTTATATTTAGGGAATTGGAAAGAATATCTAGTAGAAAAGACACTTCACCACAGGTAATTCATACGATTTCAACTCAATTTTGATGCTTTTCTTTCAATTTTTCATATAAAATATGTTTTTTTTTTTTTTTGACAATATGCAGGAGTTGCTTGTAATACGAAAAATTCATCCATGTTTACCCTCTTTCAAAGCAGAATTCACAGCTTCTGTTCCTTTAACTCGAATTAGAGATATTGCTCACAGAAATGATATTCCACATAACCTCAAGGTGATAAAAGGCCATTGAACACTTTGCTTTGAGGGTATTTTTGTCATTTTATTTGTGTTAACTTATTTGTGAATGTGTACATTTCAGCAAGAAATCAAACATACGATACAAAACAAGCTTCACAGATGTGCTGGACCTGAAGATTTAATTGCTACTGCTGCAATGCTTGAAAGAATCACTAAAAATCCAGGAGAATACAATGAAGCATTTGTTGAGCAGTTTAAAATATTTCATCATGAACTCAAGGATTTCTTTAATGCTGGAAGGTTAGTTATCTGTAATCATATTTCAATGGGACCCACATCATATTTTATCTGAAATTGATTGGACATTAATCACTTCAAATTTGCAGCCTTACTGAACAACTTGAATCTATTAAAGAATCATTTGATGAAAAGGGAAAAGAAAAGCTCTCATCATTCTTGGATTGCAAAAAGGTACATTTACTCCCCATTCTAAACAGAGGGTAAAATGGTCATTTTGATTCGGTCCAAAAAGAAACTTACTTTGTGTGTACATCACTTTATCCAACCAAACACCATTTAATTCATGACTCAAGGTTGTGGATGAATTTTGTAGATCTTTTAATGTTTTTATAATTCTCTACATATTTGTAAAAAAACATGGAGATATATAATGAATGTTTTTATATTTTTATATGATTTTGTAGGCATTGGATAATTTTCAAGGAACACCCGAAGTTTCAAAAGGAAATGGAGTAGAAATATTGATGAATACAATAAAATCATTAAATAGTCTTAGAGAAATAGTTACAAAAGGTCTTGAAAGTGGTATCCGAAATGATGCCCCCGATACTGCAATCGCAATGCGCCAAAAGGTCGTGTTTTTTTTTTCCATTTGTGTGAAAAAAGACGTAAATGCCCTTCTCAACCTTATGTTAAATCTTGTTTTCCCTTTTATAGTGGCGCCTTGTGGAGATTGGACTTGAGGACTATGCGTTTGTTCTCATGAGCAGGTATGTTTTCTAGACTGAATAAACCGTTTGAACTAGACTAAATGACCATTTTACCCCTACATCTAAAAAACCAATTTCACAACCTTTATCTTTGTCTGAAAATGATTGATAAAATGTAGATATTTGAATGCACTTGAAGCTGGTGGTGGGGCCCAATGGCTTGGAGAGAATGTGAATTCAAAAAATGTTGACTCATGGATTGACCCGATAAATGCTCTTGTTGTGGGCATTCGCCAGCTAGGATTATCCGGGTGGAAATTACAAGAATGTAAAGCAATTGAAAGTGAACTTCTTGCTTGGAAAGAAAGAGGTTTATCAGAAAAAGAAGGTGCCTTTTCCTTTTTTTTTTTTTTTTTTTTTTTTTTTTTTTAAATGATTTAACTTTGTTTGTAATAACAAAACAACCATTGTTGTATTTGTTCTAAAGGTAGTGAAGATGGGAAAACAATTTGGGCTTTAAGGATTAAAGCTACATTAGATAGATCAAAAAGACTCATTGATGAATACTCCGAAGCACTTCTTCAAATTTTCCCTCTAAAAGTAGAGGTAACCTTTTTACTTTTTACTTTCAGCTTTCAGTGTATATGACTTTTTAACTTTTTGTAAAAATTACTTTTATATTAAATTTGTTTCACAAGATTATTCTTATGATTCTTGTAGATATTGGGAAAAGCTCTTGGAATTCCTGAAAATAGTGTACGAACATTCACAGAAGCAGAGATTCGATCTGGGTATAATGAGAACTTTTAATAATTATTAAATTATTAGATAAATAAAATTTCTAACTTTAATATTTTGGTGTTTAGAATAATTTTTCAAGTTTCCAAACTTTGCACGATGCTTTTAAAAGCAGTTAGAACTACACTCGGGTCTCAAGGTTTTGACGTTCTTGTCCCTGGATTGGCTCATGGAACATTAATACAGGCAAACTTATATAAAAAAATAATAATAATTAGACCTCATTTTTCTTTTCTTTTTTTTGATTATTATATTTGATATTCCTCAATCATGTTTTTTTTTACCAGGTTGAAAAAATAATACCGGGTATACTTCCATCATCTGTTACAGGACCTGTTATTCTTATGGTCAGCAAAGCTGATGGGGATGAGGAGGTTAGAATAGTCTTTTTCTCTCTACTCAATCACAACCCTTGGATCAAATTCATCTGATGTTTCTAGAAGGCTAACTGTTTTGTAACATGTAGGTGACAGCTGCAGGGAGTAATATTGTGGGAGTGATTCTACTCCAGGAGTTGCCTCATTTGTCACATCTTGGTGTGCGGGCCCGACAAGTAAGTTTATTATTATTATTATTATTATTATTATTATTATTATTATTTTAATTGTTATATTTTGTTAATATTGTGATTTGGTTGATCGTTTTATAGGAGAAAGTTGCATTTGTGACGTGTGAAGATGATGATAAAATCGCTAGTATCAAAAAGCTGGAGGGGAAATATGTTAGGTCAGTAATGGAATCCTGGATTCCGATTCCACCGGAATGGAATCCTGGATTCCGATTCTGCTGGAATCCAGGAACCAAACATTACCTTATATTCTTTTGTTTTTGCAGGTTAGAAGCATCCCCATCGGGAGTCAATGTGATTCAATCCTCAGTAGAGGACGGAATTAGGGCTCGCCCTGTGGAAGCTTCATCAAATGGGACTCCAAAAGATTCTGTTTCCAAATCCATCTACACAAGTCAGGTAACACATAATGACTTTATTAACCCCAAAGATGATAAAATTTACATTTAATAACCATGTGATCTTTCATTTGAAGGGTATTTCAAAGGCCGGAATCATACAACTTGCAAATGCAGATGTATTAACTTCTGGTGCAAAGGCAGCTGCCTGTGGTAGCTTAGCTTCTCTAGCTTCGGTTTCTGCTAAAGGTCAAAATAGTAAAATTAAAAATTCCCATTTTTTTCATAAAAACCATTTATTTTCATCGATTATGATTCAGTTTCTTGATTTGATACAGTTTATAGCGATCAAGGAGTTCCTGCAGCTTTTAATGTCCCAAATGGAGCAGTGATTCCTTTCGGCACTATGGAACTCGCAATAGAAGAAAACAAATCAAAAGAAGCATTTGAATCATTATTAGAACAGCTCGAAACAGCAAAAATGGAAGGTGGAGATCTTGACAAGCTCTGCAACGAGCTTCAAATTTTGATCGCCTCCTTGAAGCTTCCGAATCGAATCCTTGAAAGTTTGGGAGAATTGTTCGAGGGAAACGCACGTTTAATCGTAAGATCAAGTGCTAACGTCGAGGATTTGGCGGGAATGTCGGCGGCGGGGCTATACGATTCAATCCCTAATGTCACGCTTTCAAATCCGGTCAATTTTGGGAACGCAGTTAGTCGGGTTTGGGCGTCTTTATACACGCGAAGAGCGGTTTTGAGCCGGAGAGTCGCCGGCGTGCCACAAAAAGCGGCGACGATGGCGGTTTTGGTTCAGGAGATGCTTTCGCCGGATCTCTCGTTTGTGCTGCACACGGTCAGCCCGACGGACAACGATTGTAACTTGGTTGAAGCCGAGATCGCGCCTGGACTCGGTGAGACGCTAGCCTCTGGCACCAGAGGAACGCCGTGGCGGATCTCTTCTGGGAAGTTTGACGGGGTGGTGAGGACGCTGGCGTTTGCGAATTTCAGTGAGGAGATGGTGGTGGGTGGTGTGGCGGATGGGGAGGTGCTCCGGTTGACGGTTGACTATAGTAAGAAGCCGTTGACGGTGAATTCGGTTTTCCGGCAACAATTAGGGCAGAAGCTTGGGTCTGTGGGGTTGTTTCTTGAACGGAAGTTTGGGTGTGCGCAGGATGTTGAAGGATGCTTGGTGGGTAAAGATGTGTTTATTGTGCAGACTCGACCTCAACCGTTGTAATGAGTTGTACTTTATGGTTTGGAGAGTGGAGATTCGACCTCAAATGCTGTAACAACTTGTACTTTAGTTGTGATTATGATGTTAGAAAACCATAATGTTGATGTAGAATAAGCACAATGTGTGTAAAAAAATATCACATTGACCTTAATAAATGAGTTGATTGCATTTCATTCTTGTGTTTGATATGTTTTTGTTTGGGTTTGACATGTAAGAGAACAGTGTAGCTTAAGAAGATTATGTAAGCAAAGGGCTTGAAGACAACACTAAGCATTTGGACCGGATCGGACCGGCTTTTGGACTTGACCGGTTTGACAGAAATTGGTGGACCTTAGACCGGACATGTCGAGAGTAGCTTATCCCGTTCTTGGACGCATTTGGACCAAACAGACCAACTCTTGGATCAGATTGGTTTTGTAGAAATTGATGGACCGTGGACCAGACATGTGGAGGCACGCAGGCTTATCGAGTCCAAGTAGGTCTAGTATAGATGTCCAAATGCTCACCCCTAGATAGGAGAGAATGAGTTGTCACTTATTAGACCATGAAATAAGATTTGTCATCAAGAAACACATGTGTGTAGGAAAATTTGTTCCGTGGCTTAGGAAATATAGGGTCTAGTAAAAGTGAGATATTGCATGGTGTCGATGAGGCTACGATAGTATGTGGTGTCCGTATACGAATCGCCTATGGTGGAGTTCAGTTTGACATCCATGTTAACTAGTGTATGAGATGGTGTACAAGAAGTCATGCTAGAATTTTGGTTTTTTTATTTTTATTTCCAAAACAGTTAAAGGAATTTGATGACAAATATCTTAACTTGTGTTGTATCCGTCTGGAAGCACACTTAAGTATGGTGAACGTTCTGATATTGATTGTTTTTCTAATGCAATTATTGCATATAAAGTTTTGCTGACTATTTTAGTAATAGTGACTTCTATAGAAAGAAGTTTCTTAAAACTGAAATTGTTAAAGTCATAATTACGATCCACAATATCATAAGAAAGACTTAATGAATTAACAATGATAGCTATTGAGAACGATATATCGAATAGTATTGATTATGAAAAGTTGGTGATCAAATTTGCTTCCAAAAATACTAGGAGAGTCTCGCGATTCATGTAACTATGTAAAATTATATATCGTACTATTGTTTTTTTTTATTTGGATTGTTTTTATAACATTTATCGACTTATCGTGGTATTAGTGGTATTAATGTATTTTGTTTATATATAAGAAATTTTTACTTAGGACTCGTTTTTATTTTTTGGCCTTTCAAAATCAATGGGACACCCTTGCAAGCACGTTCAATGATTTCTTTGGGGAATCAAGTCTAGCTGAGAAAAATACGATTTACATGCATGTATATTTGTATACTACAATCAAACTGATTGGTCATGACACATTTTCAAACATCTACAACCCTTTGTTAAAAAACAATATTTTAATAAAATAAATCAGTATATCAACTAATCCGTCACTGTTCGTTTCGATACCTCCTTTTTATCTACTCATAACTCTAATAAACTTACTGAATGCCGCTTTTCCTATATCTTATCTTATAGATTGTCTTTATGTACAATAAAATAAATACCATATCACACTCCATATATACACAACAACAATATCACTGATCTTCAGGAAAATCCAATAAAGCAAACTTCACATGTAACCCTATCTTCCCGCCGTCCATCACCAACTTCCCGCCGGTCACCAACCAATGCCCCGGCATATCATGCGACCCCCGCACCACCTCTTCAATATCCACATACTTTCTCATCTTCGTCGACCGGATCGGCACCGGCGGCCCATCAGGATACACCCCGGAGTTAATCGTCGCGGGAAGCTGCTTAGGCGCATCAGCCACCGACTTTTGCGTAAAAGTAAAAGTCGAGCTCAGATTCGTGAAAATACTCGATTTCCGACCTAGGGTTTCCGCACCTGCCCATTCCGTTTTCCTAATCGTGCAATGAGGAAGGTGAGTGAAGAGTAGCCGGAGGTGCAACACCGTTTTTGGCCATTTCCCCTTTGTTACGAGCTGAGCTCCGGTCACGATGAATACTCCTCCGCCTTCGGTTCCTTGTAACCAGTTTGGATCGTGTTTCACTACTGATGAACAGATGTTGGAGTATCGCTTCCATCTGATTGGTTCCAGGAATTGGGCGGTGGATTCGAAATCGTCGGACCCCCGCCACTGACATGGCCGGACAGCGGACGGCGGTGTGTTACACGTCATGATGTTTGGGAGGCTTGAGAGATGTTGCACGTGCACTGCTAATCGGTTGCTTTTCTTCCCTTCTAGAAACAATCGTATACCAATAATCGGTTTTTTGTTACTCAAAACCTGAAAATAGTAAATTACCCATTATTATCATATTGTATTAAAAAATATATATTTATAATGACTTAAATTGATACAGACAAAATCTGTATACCTGAGTTGTACTAATGTGGACTTTAGGACCCAAGAAAGCAAACTGAAGCCAAGGGTATGACGTCATTCTTTGTTGATGACGAAGAGGTAGGTCGCAAAAAAGTGGGGCCCACTGTCTAGGAACTTGAAACTCCAAGAAACATTGTAAATCTTCTGGCGTAGGCTTGTCTATTTAACGAAAAGGATAAAATGGTCATTTACTCACGACAAAAAAAAAAAAAAAAATTTGTGTATACAATCATTTATCTGTAATACACTTGAGGGTTAATCTAGACAGAATGACTTAATGGGTTAAGCCAAAAATTTGTTTTGTGAAATGTAAGGGTAAAATGGTCATTTAACTTACAGCGCAAATATAAGTTGATCGCATGGCTAAGATATCCACTCCCGGGAACGCCATTAAGAAGAGAAGTAATTGGAACAAACTTGAACCGTATTGCTTCAGGGCTAGCAGCCACTGTCTGAAGCCACTTCATGTGACTTTTTGAAAAGACATCTCCGCCCCTCTTAGACCCGATAATCGTGAGTCCCTGTTCCAGTTTCAACCATTATATTACAAACCATATATCAAGGGCAATCTGGCATGGACCAAAAACAATAAGAACATACCATAGGGGATGTACGAGCTAAAAAAAAGAAAGTTGGGGACCAAACACGTAGATTACCCCAAACCACAGGGACCATTTGTGTAATTTACTATTTTTTGTATTTTCAAACTTACATCTTTGCTTGAAGTTTCTGTGATGTTAGTGAACTGCATGGTATGTGGCTGCAACATGCGGCTGAAAACCTCTGGAATCTGAAAATATATTTTCTGAATTATTGACTGAAAACTAAAAAAAATAAATAAAAATTTAAGATGTAGAAATATGATTTAAAATTTTACTTTTTGTTTGCCATCTTTTGTTTTTCTTTCGGGTAAAGAAGGACTTGCTCCATCTAAGAATAAACAGTCTCCAAGATCCTCTAAATGTCCTCTAAGCTCTGTGGGTGAAATTGTGGAAGATGGTTTTTGTTTAACACATATAATATCTTGCCCTCCAATACCCATCCCTACTAAAATGTGGGTCCCATATGTCTGAATGAACCTGTCATACATACAAACATGCATACATAAACAATAAGCATACACAATGTCTGTTTCTTTTTGACTTAATTGACTTAATGAGGACATGACTTGATATACAATTGCATTTGTATCATTCTCTATTAAATAAACAATCAATTGTTGTTCAGCATCGTTTCCAAGTAGAAGGGTAAAATGGTCATTTAGTCTGTTTCTTTTTTTTTCATTTTAAGTCTTGAACGGATAAAGTGACTGATTGGATACCGATATTTGTCTTGAATGTTTTTCCTGTTTCTTTTTTGAACTCGGTAATCTGTCTGAACATAAGTAAATGACCATTTTACCCTTACACTCCACCAAACCATTATCAGACTCAAAATTTATAGCACTAATCAAATCCAGCAACTTTGTAAAGATTTGCATTCAAAATCAACCAGCAGCCCATAATTCTGTTATTTGTTTCCATTTTTATGATTCCAAATCTTGAAGTTTATTTGTATAAGTAGATTTTTTAAGCGTATTTACTAGTTATTGTATGATTTTTTACCTGGCTAATAACGCGGGATTCCAATGAGTAGGAACGGACTTTTTTACCCTTTCTTGAAGTACTAATGGAGATGCTGTAAGGTGCAAATAGTAGAGGGAGATAAAATAGCCATCAAAAGCAAGATGTTTGGCATCTGCTACATCATTTAACCATGCACCACTTAGATCAAATAATGCATTGAAGTATCCTGAAGGCACTTTTCCTTGTACTGATGCTTTTTGATTAAGTAACTCTGACATCTGCAACACAAAATGATTGAAACATGAAAAAAAGATAGTTAGATGAAGTTTGACACACTTTTGCAGACACCATAATCGACATTTGAAACAATTGATGAAAGTATAAGTCATTATAGTTGGTAAGAATGTATAAACATAATCATCATAGGTGCTTATTAACTCTTTAATGTTTTTTTTTTCCATTATTAAAAGCACACCAGTTGTTCAATCGATTCCAATTCTAACTTGTTATAGGTTTTGACCTCATTTCCATAATCGAAATTGGAATTGATAATATTCAAGCTCAAAAGTCAAATCCAACTGCATAGGCTTGCTTGCAGGGTTAACAAGCCATAGAAATGCTATTCACTCCATGTTTAACAGAGGATAATCGACCACAAATGTTGAATTCACTTGAAACAGATGAAGAATAGATTGATTATGCGAGAGAACTGATAAACATAAGATTCCATCACCTGATTGAACTCCAAAACATCAGATTTAAATCGAACATGATCGCCTTTATCGCAATGAATATCCACAGAAACGCCAGAAATGGTGGCGCCGCCGCCAGGTAAAACGATGTCTCTCTTCCTCGACTCATCAAGCTGCACCAACCGCCCACCACCCGGACACGCCTTCGCAAACTTTAACCGGAAATCGCTAGCGAAATCAAACCCTAATCCTAATGAATCGAAAGCTCTCAACTCAATCGGCTTCTGAGAATAATCCATCAAATTACCAACTAATCACGAATCTCCAAGTCCAACCGCAGAAGAACTCTTGATTCTGATTTATAACTAAAACAGAAACCAAATCAAGATGAACCAATTGGATCAAATACCATAAACGCGTGAATTTAATACCAAGTTGAGACTTTGAAACTTCAGTAATCGGGTATAGAGTGTTGACTAGTAACCGATTCGACAGGTGAAGACACCAAAATTACCTCAAAATTTGGAGTGGTTTTGAATTATTGATGACAAGAAGGAAGCACAAATTGATGGAATTGTCGGATCGGGTCGGATCGGGTCAGTAAAAGAATCGTTGACAATTCTTATATGCAGACAACAATTTTGACTGGATGTATTTAGTTTACCAACTCCAGCATGCCTTTCTGACTTCTGACTTTTCGAAAAATTCTTACCTATCTTTTAGGTCTTAAACTTGATGTGAACGTTTGATTCTGAATTTTAAAAAATTAAAATCAAATTTAAATAATCAAGTATTATCCAAGATCCAAATATTGAATCCTAACAAAACAATCCACTCATACCCGATAGTCAACTTTAATGTAAAAGAGATAAATCACTTGCCCAAGAGGAAGGTCAGTGCAAAAGGGAAAAGAGATGCATATCCTTGATACTATCATTTTTATAATCTTTATGTCAATTTGCATCAATTCAACAACCCGAAGTTCTTAATATATTTTCCATATAATAAAAGCAAAATTCTTAACTTGTTTATGGACTTATGGTCATACTGATTTCAATTTATATCGTAGTTACCATTTTTTATATAAATGAATATGTTGGAAGTTTAACTAATATAGAAATCATATATAATATAGTTTCTCGTCATAGCAAAAAAAAGTTACAATACTAAAAATAATAATGTTTTTATCCGTCATCACTATTTGATCAAATATGCTCAACCAAGTGAGAATGAAGTTAATGATACCTAGACTATTTTGAAGATATTTTAGGAGATCTTTCATGAAACTTTGAAATATCTTATTTGAAGTATCTATTTCTTCGTGGGTCCGATTAATTATATTGTATCGCATTCATCTTGACAATCATATTAAGCAAAAGTACGCAAATTTGCACAATATTTTCAAATCTTCTAACTATTGTCGTGATAGTCCTTTAGCAATAGTCAAACGAAATCTAAATACCCAAAATGACCATTTTGCACCCTTTCTCACACCCTCTTATTATTCATTAACTTTTTTTTTAACAGCTTATTATTCATTAACTAATTTTATTTTTGGAACATGTAGACATAAAAAACTTTTCATGGAACTAGCCCATTTTAGATCAATCTCAAAGTCTCAACTACAGATAATATCCTTTGGTAAATTATGTGAATTTTTTAATGAATATTACTTCTGGTGCCTCTCGCTACAAGACAAAAAAATTCAAGCACTCGTCATAACAATCTACATAGGCCCCATAAGCTTGTTAATGGATAGCCCTCATAAACTTCATCTCTAACATTAGGCTTGAACATAAATTTTTCGATTGCAGACATATACTCAAATGATACACTTCATGGCTTTGTGTCATGCAACTTGATGTATCCGATCGATCATTTGGAAGGTAACATCATAAAGGAACCTAACTGACATTTTCACAACATCAAATATAAATGTTAGCTCAAATTAATCATTATTAGATATTAGAATTACCAACGATATATTATATGCTCTCCGATGTATTAAATTTTTTACATCAATCTTTGTCATGCAAATGATCCCAAAAATGTCGAAAACAACTCATCTCAATGCACTATTCGAAGGAGTCATTGAAGCTTATTTCGTGGATCTACCATTTAAATCTTTAATGAAAAACTTTATCTTTCATAGTAAAGAAAACAATTAGTATTATAACCCAATTGGTATTTATGTTGTTATAATACACAAATGAGATTTGCATAAAATGCTAATCATATGAACCAACAATATCATAACGAAATACATGGATAACTAAATGTGGTAAAATATGTATGAGAATGTGAGGATTCTTGTTTAGGATTTCAATGGACAAGAGTGAGAAGGAATTTGATGGTATCTTGGTAGAGTCTAAGGCTTCTAATGGTAGATAACAATTGGGTTTTTAAGTTGTTTGGAATACTATTTGTGTTTAATTTAATTTGAAACACTTTATTTGTTTATTTTAATAGTACGTTTAATTCTCTGTGTTAATTTAAAACACTTTATTTGTTTATTTTAATATTATGTTTAATTCTCTGAGTTATTCTATGCTTCTTGATGAAGTAACATGACTTAATTTTCCATTCTCCTATTTACACATTATCATTTCTGTATATGCCGGAGGTCATATATATAAAAATTATAATATCAGACTCCTTCGTAATTCCAGTTAGAATAAAGTAGAAGAGATAGATATCAATAATCATCTCTCTATAACAAAATATATATATTAAAAAATAAATAAATAAAAAAAATAAATAAATAAATAAAGAACACACGACCACATCATTACCTCTCATACCTCATTCTAATTGGGATTATCTTTTGTTGTTAGTGGTGTTTTTTTAAATCTTTATATCTTTTATGTATAACATTTTTATTGAAAAGTAACAAATATAGAACGAAATAGTGGTGAAAGATTGACTTCTTGTGAAATTAAAAATATTTTATTAAATTTCATATGGAGGAAATTTGCATTTTCTTTTTTCTTTATAATTTTTTGAGTAATTTGGCGGCCGAAAATGGGGTCCAATAATAAAAGCATCTCTGTCTCTGCAACTCTGCCAGCCTTTCTTCAACCGTTTCTTGCTGTCCACCCTCGCAAATCAGAATCACAACTACAAATACAATCAAACAATTAAACCCCAAATCTTTCTTAATTTCACCAACAGATCACAACTCCACAAAAATGGACTCATCGGACGACGAAGGAGAGGAGTACTTGTTCAAAGTAGTCATCATCGGAGACTCGGCAGTCGGAAAATCAAACCTGCTATCTCGTTACGCTCGAAATGAGTTCAATATGCATTCCAAAGCTACAATCGGAGTTGAGTTTCAAACTCAGAGCATGGAAATCGACGGGAAGGAGGTCAAGGCTCAGATTTGGGACACCGCAGGCCAGGAACGCTTCCGTGCTGTCACCTCCGCTTACTACCGTGGCGCCGTTGGTGCCCTAGTTGTTTACGATATTTCCCGGAGCACCACATTCGATAGCGTCTCCCGGTGGCTCGAGGAGCTCAATAGTGAGTTTAATTTACTACGATCTGATCTCGTTTTGCTTTAGCTTAATTCGTTCATTATGTGCTTTATAGATCAATTCATTTGAATCATTTCTAGCTAGATCGAGATGCATACAAGTGTTTTGAAAATGTTTTTGACTGAATTTGAACACTTATGGACATGATCACATGAATCTGAGGTGATGTGATCTAATCCCATGTAGAAAAACTCTGATTGGATTCATAATTAGGGATCTTCCAGTTCAAATCCTGAATTTGTCATATCCAATTTCAAATTCCAATTCCTTTTAACAGATTTCATTCCTTATAATGCAGCTCATTCAGAGACAACAGTGGCAAGAATGTTAGTGGGAAACAAATGCGATCTGAACAATATCAGAGCTGTGTCTGTTGAAGATGGCAAGAACCTTGCAGAAAAAAACGGATTGTTCTTCATGGAAACATCAGCACTCGATTCAACAAATGTGAAAACAGCTTTTGAAATGGTGATTCGTGAGATTTACAACAATGTTAGCAGAAAAGTTTTGAATTCAGATTCATATAAAGCCGAGTTATCTTTAAACAGGGTCACTCTTCCAAATGATGGTGATGCTGGATCTAAGCAAGATCAAACCAGATACTCTTGTTGTTCTTGATTTTTGTGTATTCTTTTCTTGATTATTTTTCGAAATTAAATTTATTTTGTTGGATTTTATTATGTGAATGGTAAAATTTGCCATTTTTTGTTTTTTTAACCATGTTGATTTGACAACCTGCATATATATCTATTTATGTATCTATATTCATACTATCATACAATATTACAATTGAGGTTTAAGATATATGATTTATCTTTCACTACATTAATTTGAATTTTTTGTTCATTACATCCAACAAATTAACTGAAACCTTTTTAATTGCTTGACAATGCTTATTTATTTAACTTTAATAACAAAATAGTGATAAATTTAGATTTTATTAACTGTCATCATTTGTTAATTAAAGGTTAAACATCATTGTTTGTTAATTAAAAAGTTAAATTTGTTATTTGTTATATAAAAGGTTGGAAAACTATCTTCTAAATATTTGAAAATGTCCAAAAGACCAATATTTTAAGTTAAACAACAATGGGTATACATAACATTAAACAAAAAAATTATTAAAATAAAATTTCATTAAGAAAAAAATTATATTACCTTGAAAACAATGATTATCATTTTTAAAAACATCAAGAGTAAGAGCATGATAGAAATCTTAAAAGCTGTCTCATTGGAGAAGTCAAAGAGTTGGTGATGTTCGAAAAGGTTCTTTCCATGCTCAAAGAGAGATGGATTATGTCATTGCATGAGATATATTAAGGGTTGTAGGGTAGTTTTATAATTTTATAATTAAGAGGTAGACATTTAATTTTTTCGATTAAGAGCGTATATTAGTCTCTTGATTTTTGCTCTTAATTGTTCAGTTTTTTTTTGGAACGACAAATATCATTAGAATTAGAAGTCGACGATTAGCAAATGACTAAATCGTGACAGAAAAATTAATACAAGAAAAGTAATCATGAAGGAAGCAAAAACAGATACAAGGATAAATGAATAAAAGGTGAGCAAATCCATTTTGCCCAATCACCACAACCATTTTTCCTCATCTGTGTGCACCAAGAGTATGAGTTAGCAATGATGGCGTCCACTATCTTTGTTGGAGAGATCCGAATATTCTTAAAAACACACTCATTTTTGGCATTCTAGATACTCCGTAGTCTGCAGTAGAAGACTGTACTGCCAATCACTTCCTTTATCTGACAACTGTGTCATCCGTCACCTGAGTTAAGGAATTTCATGACACTCGAGCACATTCTACTTTCCAATCCAAGCCATTTGAAAATCCAAGAGTGTACAGTTTGGGCAAAACTCACACTGAAGAAAAAGATGGTTCAATAATTCGACTTCTTTTTTGCAGAATGGACACGTTTGATTATGAACATTTATTCCCCTCGCCATTAGGGTGTCCGCTACTGGAATTCTACACATCGAAGTCCGCCATACAAAACATCTGACTTTTAACGGGATTGTTTTTGACCAACAGATCTTAAGGCCTTTGGATAGAATCAGTTTCGATTCAATTAGCCGCCTCATGCCATTTACCTTATAATCGTCATCATTTGTCTTGAAGCGAAAACCATATGGAGTTGATCCCCTGCTTATATTCAACCAACCAATATCATTATATAATTGGAGCAACTCGTGTAATTCCATCGAGTTGGATGGCTCGTGCTTCCAACACCAAGAGAAACCACTAGCAGACAGACGGTCAACCGGTGAGCAGTTTTTAACTGATTCAATCTTATAAAGATGAATTTTTTTAATAGAAATGATGTTGTTCCACACCATACGTCTTTCCAGAAAAGAATTTGAATATTAGATCCAGGGATAAGAGTGAATATTTGATGATTTTCAATACCAATTCCCTCCAGAGCCATGACCGCATTATGGATATTACACCACACCCCAGTGGATGTCTTTCTAGTAATATGATGTGCAAGTTTCTTCAACAGATTAATTGTCCAGTAGCCCTCATAATTTTTAAGAGAATGAGTTGTATCTAAATATAAAAAAAAACATGTTCCGGATATACCATAATTTTCCAGCGAACTTTTTTTCCTCATCCCTTTCTATTTCACAGACTCCATTTTTCCTCCCACTCCGACCTCTTAAAAATTGAGATTTTAAAAATTCAAAGCACTTTAAAAATTCACATCTCTTAAAAGTTCAGATCTTGACAAACATTCTATTAAATCTTATTATGGATTTTGGAGATACATGCGAAGCAAAAGAAATTTCTAACAGAAAAGAAAATAAAAACTACTGGAGTACTTGGTTATATCGTGGCTTAGGGTATGTGACAATGCAAATTGCAAAGATTAACTTGGATTAAAATTATAGGAATTGCGTTTCGGTTGTGGGATCCCAATTTCTTGATGGTGATTCGAGTTTGGAACATTTGGTAATGGGTTGGATCCATCAGAGGAGATCCGGAAGAGTCTTTTGGGCCCAGGGAATGCTTTGGGCTTTTAATTTGGATCATGAAATGCCCCCTCCTGAGCCCATCAATGCTGAACCCAATGAACCTGATGAAATCAGGCCTAAATCACGTGCCATTCAAATCGAATGAAAGGGAAAACCTCCACAGTCCACACCTCCTCTTTAAAATCAAACTCGATATCTGATTCTAATTGATCATGCGGAACATCTTCTATCAACAACTTTGCTTCGGTGAGATTAAGAGATTTAGATGTTATTTGTTTTTGAAGATTTAAAATGTCTACGGTCGTTTTCCATATTTGCAGAAGAAAATGTGGACCAAAAGTCTTCATAGATGATACTAAATAAGAAAGATGGATGTACGGGTGAGGCTATACTATTTCAGGTGGGTCACTTGACCCATCTAAATTTAATAAGTGTACAACAAGTTACATAAAAAAATAAGACCTACCTTAAATATTTTGAAAGACCTATGTTAATGTGTTTGGTAAAAAAAGAGAACGGAAAAAAAGATATAACATATATACAATAGAAGACATATTATATTTATGACTTGAAAGAGTCCCATTGATTCCAATACGAAAATGATGACTGAGTTTTCTATTATAAATAAATGTTTCATTTTTCATGTTTCTACACCATAAGCTTTTCAATATTTGGTTTAGACTTGCTAGCTTTAAGTATAAGGTTGTTTTAGTGAATTTTTTTTTTTTGAAGGAATGACCAATTTGGCTTCAGTCCTTTCATCACCAGTTTTTATACATGTTGAATCGATTATATTTTTTGTTGAACCGACCTGATTGAACACGATTTTCTCTTGAACCAATCCAATTTTTAGACTCGACACCGCTGACCATTAACCATATTTATTTCTGAATGATGGTAAAGACGACGACGGTGGTGGTGGTAACAGAGGCGAAGATGAGGGTTGTGATGGTGGTTTCCCTCATAACGAAAATATGCCACCAAAATCTTACAAACACAGTAATATGTCTACTTGTAAACCATCATCAATACCTATCAATACTAAAAGGAAATTAAATGCGAACATGAAATTCTTGTTTAAGGATCCGACCATATACCCATAGTCTAGTCGAAACCTTGCACTATTTTATGTTCACATAGTCAATAATTTCTTACTTTGTATAGTAAGTTTTCCTTCATATGCACACTCCTCACAATGATTGTATGACATCTCTCAAAGATACATATGTTGTACTTTAGGTTTTAGTATTCATCCTTACAAATTATAAACGTCTCGTTAGTCAGTTTACACATATATCATATCAACTGGACAAGGTGCATTCACATTCGTCACTCCACTTTTGGTTAGTACGTCTCGCCTGAAGACTATCATTTTGTAGTTGTTAAAAAGACAACATACTATCTCTCGATATAACGCAAATATATAATAGTAAGGGTTGGCAAATGTTGTTTCCAAGACATGATGGACTCCAAATATATTACCAGAATTACACATACCAATACTAAACATCATATTTATTTTTCTATGACAACAAAAGCGTAATGTGAACTTAGTTCAACATAAACATACGAAACATATTGATGTCGACCTTCACTTTCTTCGAGAAAAATCACTATATGACAAGTCTGATTGTTACACGTTCCATCTCAAGATCAACTTGCTAATATCATTATCAAATGTCCATCAAGATTTCAGAACAATTTTAGCATCGAGTCTCCTCCCACTCTTGGTAAGGGGTAGATTAGATATATATTTTCTTGCCAATAGTTAGATATGTTGTAGTCATTGTTATTTAATAAGTCGCTTAGATCTCAATTAGTTACACTTAATATCTTTGATGTAGAGATAATCATGATTGAATGGCCATTTACAGTCACAAAAAAAATTAAATTACATAAAACATAACTAAAATACAGATTTTTTATTAATAAAATTCAAAATTATCTTATTTATAATAATTTAAAAACCATAATATGACTCATAACCAGTATAAAAATCATATTATTTAAGAGATAATATACTTCCTAGTTGTAGTGATTTTATACGACTAGAAGATTATTCCTAATAAAAATAAATTCTAACAAAAAGCATATAATAAAGAAACCTTTAAAAAAAGAAAAAAAAAAGGTTTCAAGTTATCCTTACATTAAGAGAAATTAAATATCTTTTTATATTTTCTTTCTATCTATCTTCGTATCCGTATTAAATGGTGAAAAGTAGATTAATAATATTATTAATGTAAATTAACTTCATTAAATTTAGTTAAAAACTTTAAAAAAAAAAGTTATAAGATCGTTAGATATTTAAAAATTAGTTTCCACCGAATTATAGTAAACGGGCAGCTTGCGTGAGTACTTGCGCATTTAATCGTTAAATATATGAAAAAAGAAATTAATTATGTTTTAATTAAATTAAAAGAAATGGTAGCAAATCGTGGATTCAGGAAAGTTGTCTAGAGCCCCTAAGATTTCCCACTAAAACTTGTTTTATATGTTTCTGATTATCAATTGCTTTATAACATGATGATAGGCCTGATAATCGTGTCGTGTTCAGGTTGGCGTGTCGCGGGTTGGCGGGTCAAAATATACCAATCCAAACACGACCCATTTAAATATACAGGTCACGGGTTGGCGGGTTTGGAACATAAACCCATATATGACCCACCAACCCATTTATTTATACGGGTTCACAAGTTGGCGGGTTCGTGGGTCAGATTTGGGTTCGTAGGTCCAAATTTTAGATATTTAAGTCTTAAACATC